GAGAGAGAGAGAGAGAGAGAGAGAGAGAGAGAGAGAGAGAGAGAGAGAGAGGGTCTTATCTTGAGAGGGACCTAATATTTCAAGTCAAGAGTCCTAGATTTATACTCTGTAAGAGACAGTTTGCCAAAACCAATTCAGCCAGAATTTGACAACAACATTATCAATGCATATAAAACACAAACAATAACAAATTCTGAATTTATGCAGCTTTAATCAACAGATCCATATGAAGATAAAAAACAAAAACAAAAAAACAAAAGATCGAGAACAGATAAATAATCATGTTCTATGATATATTTCCAACATTAAAATAAGTTCTTGAAAAAAAATCAGGTTTCAAAGTTTTAAAAAAAACCAAGTCAAGTTGCGGAAACATTTCAAATTAAAGCTGCAACGTTGCTGAACAGGCGCTAGTCATTGTGAAAGTTCTTCATCTTTGCGACCAATACCACCGATTGGTACGGCTTATTCGAGCAAGTTATAGAACAGGATCAGACGGGGAAAAACACCCACATATCATTACAAAATAATGACGTACTTTCATACCCTTATAGAACAAATATTGCAGCACAATAATACTTTCACTCAATCACGCTTCTCAGTCCCCCTGTTACTTGACGAGGGGTGCACTGTACACGATATACTTCCATACTCTCTTCGAGGAAACTACAACGCCATAGCCGGTTCCCTGCACACTCAGAAAATCCGGTTTGGGGAAGTAGAGTAAGGGATAGATCAAATCATTCTTTGGTTGATACAGTCAGAATACGGTAGGAGGAAAAAAAACAGCCTGTAAATCCCTACACTGAAAAAGGACAGAATATGGGCCAGGAAACGAAGAATTGGGGTTGGGAGGGGGGGGGGCGTCTAAGCAAGATGAAATGTGACAGCGCAGAGGATAATAAAATAAAATGCCATGAGAGAAGAAATGGTGAGAAAGAGAGAGAAAAAATGGTCCAAGAACAAAAGAATATTAAATGTGTGGTTGGACAGGGAGGGCCTAAAGTATGTGTAAAAATGGGTTCAGGAAATTATGATCTTGATAAGGTAGGAGCGAAAAAGAGGTGAACCAGGCAGAGGACGGGAAGAGGGAGTAGATCTAGGGATAAATGAATAAGGACAGAAAATTTAGAGAATAGGGTGGAAAATCACAATAAAAAATGAAAACAGGAGATATAGGTAGAGGGTCGGCCCAGTTGATAAAAAAGAAGGGGGCAAAATTAATCAAAGAAATGGAGAAATGAGTTACAAGAAAGAAAAGTTGTTGCTTTTTTTTTTTGCTGGGTAGAAAAAAAAGAAAGCTTGAGAAATACTTGTAGGCATGTATAGTCAGCGTGCGCTGAAGAGATGTTGGATGATGGACCGCAAATAGACAACTGTATAACAATACATGTAACATTCATTAAAACGTGTATGCTGCCGAGTGTGCATCGCCTTACACTGGTGTAGTTCTAGGAATTTCAGGGATTCGTGAAAAGTGTGTGGGGAGGGTAGGCTAAAGGGGGTGGGGTGTGGGAAGGAGCAACTGGAAGAAGGATAGTTGTTAGAACTGGATAGATAGATAGATAGATAGATAGATAGATAGATAGATAGATAGATAGATAGAT